CTATATATATATATCTATCTGCATGCTTGCTTTGCTAGGTAGAGATCACTGTGATGTTTGTGTTACATATATGCCTCTGCATGTGAACTGGCCTTGTGGCCCCTTGCTTGTGCTCAGTGTATGTGGTGACGTTGTGATCCACCCTGAGCTTGCTTTGCCTTTCTTGACTGGTCTTGTGACCCCTTGCTCTTCCCCACTTTGCCTATGGGGGTGTGTCAAACATATGTTTATATGTTATAGTTTAGGTAGGCTTTAGTGGGGTACTCACTGTGGGGTACAACCCCTTAGGTTTCACCTTTGTACCAAAACCTTCTCGATAGTTCATCCATCCCTACCACCCTACTCTAACAAAGGCGACGGGTCAAGCCGCAGTCACACGGGCAACAGGAGCGCGCGCACGGTGGCTACCGGAGCACTCAACCTCCGGACTACAGGAGTATCTGGCTCCGCGCTAAGACGAGCAGCAGGACCAACGGACCCACAGGCGACTGGCGCAGCAGGCTCGCTGGGCTACCGGAGCACTCAACCTCCGGAATACTGGCGCTGCTGAAGTCACAACGGCTACCTCCGGTCAACCTCCCCCAACTGTCCCACCCCTTTTCATACACCCCCTGCTGTACCCCTAGCTCCACTCCCACGTCACCCCCCTAGCACCACTCCCTCGGCTCCCACACACCCACCCCCCTCAGCGGCAGCTGCAGCAGTGGGAGACGGGGGAGGAGGAGGAGCAGGGGACGGCGCACACACACGCCACACCCATACCCGTCACCCCCATACCCTGAGTGTGCGGTAAGCAAGCTCAGGTGTGCGCGAAGCGTGCACATGCGTGCGGGAAGCGAACTCAGGTGTGCGGAAAGCGAAGTCAGGTGTGCGGGGAGGGGGGGCCGCAGGGCGACGAGCGGGTCGACGGGGACGAGCGCACGGGCCCCCGGGGGCGGCGCACGGGTCGACGGGGCCGCCGCGAAGGGCGACGAGGAGCCGCGCGCGGGTCGACGGGGAGCCGCGCGCGGGTCAACGGGGCCGCCGCGAAGGGCGACGGGGAGCCGCGCGCAGGTCGACGGGGACGGGCGCGCGGGTCGACGGGGGGCGCCGCGACGGAACGCGAAACCACCGCGCGCGGCCAGGGTGCGCGGCGGGCAGGAAACCGCTACGCGTCCCGAGCGCATGGCGGGCAGAAAACCGCCACGCACCCCGAGCGCGTGGCGGGAAGAAAAAATGAACATCGCACGCCACGGGGCGCGAGACAGACAGTATGGCAGCGGAAGCAGGCGGTCCCACAGGCCAGGAGCGTAACCGCTCTGATAGCATGTCACAATAGTAGTTAGAATGAAGGAGCCATAGCTAGGGTTTAGCTAGCTAGGCAAGAGATAATAGTCAGAAGAGGAGAAGAGCATTTGACTAGAAAGGAGGGAGGTACAAATAGCAAGCCCTAAAAGGGTTATACTCACTATTGAGTACCCCACTACAGACTAGACAAACATTATATTCTGACATGTGGTGCTTTTAACACAGTCAGATCTCGTATACCGTGGAGTGGACCGCTATGATCAAACCTACTTTTCATGGACGGCCATGATCAAACCTCACACACTGTGGATGGCCAAAAACATAACATACCATGGACAAACATACCATGGATGAACAAACATACCATGGACGGCCATGATCAAACCCCACCCACCATGGACGGCCATGATCCCGTGCGGATGCGTGCCCCTGAGCGAGTCAAGGCGCTCTCATAGGTCGTCTGAGGCCGCGCTGCCTTCACCGCATCCCACTCCTCCCGACTCAGCGCCTCCAGTTCCTCCTGCTCCTCCGCAAACCGCCGTGCCCGCCGCGCCACTCTCTCTGTCTCCTTCGACTCGTCGTACTGATGAACACACAGGGTCGAGGGGGAGCGGGAGGGAAGGAGGAAGGAGAGGAAGTGGGAGGTGAGAGGAAGATGCAAAGGGAAGGGTGCAATGTCCCGCCGCGCCACTCTTTCCGCCTGCTTGTTGAGAGAGAAGAGCAGAGCACCGGCCGGGAGGTGCCTGCATGGACGAGTTACACCCATAACTGACTGATATTACTCGAGAGGAGAAAAACCGGAAGACTGAGAATTGGAAGATGTGAATTCAAAGCGGGACAAGGTGCTTTCAGAATAGCGGGCGAGGCGGCTGTACTGCCCCCCCAACACTGCACGCGCATCAGTGTGATGAGGGAATGAAAGGGGGGAGCTTAGCAAGCACGGCCAACACCACCACCCACCATGCCCCTCCCACTCCCTTCATATTTAACGTCCCTTCCCCATCCCCACGGCACTCACAATCATGGCGAGCTTGGCGAGCACGGCCACCACCACCATGCCCACGCCCAGCTCCAGCGTCGTCGGCCGCGGCTCCACTGCCTGTTGCACCACCCGCGACGCCACGCCTCGCGCCATCACGGCCTTCACAGACTTCCCTGCCTTGCTTACGTCACGCCTCGTGCATTGCCCACTCCTCGCACTCGCTAGCCCGCGCTCGGCCTAGCAAAAGGTCACAAAATTCGGACTCGTTGCCTGGCAAGAAAGTTCACGAAATTCAGACTTCTCATAGCAAGCCAAGGGTCTAGTCAAAAGCGATCCTCGCACACATTGCCCCGCGGTCGGCCTGGCAGTCGCGACGGATCAGCGGGGGAGGGACGGACGCAGTTGCGATGACTCATCGGAAGGATGAAGGTGCAGGCGGAACTGCAGATGCGGCAACGGCAGGGAGTGAACGGCGAGCGAGAGGAAAGCCACGGGCGACGCATTTATCCACCCATTTCCCCCCCAACCCACCTTTGCCTTCTTCCCACCTTTGTCTTCTTCCCACCTTTGCCTTCTTCCCACCTTTGCCTTCTTCCCACCTTTGTCTTCTTGTCGCCTTTGCCTTCTTCCACCTTTGTCTTCTTCCCACCTTTGCCTTCTTCCCACCTTTGTCTTCTTCCCACCTTTGTCTTCTTCCCACCTTTGCCTTCTTCCCTGCCCTCGGTTCTCCTTCCCCCTGCCGCTGCCGCTCAACAAGCCTGGTGGCGCGGAAAAGAAGGTTTTGGGAAGGATCGGCGGTTGCGAGGAGCGAGAAGAGGAGCGGCGAGTGGCGCGGGGAGGATAGCGGCAAGGAGACGAGAGGCGGGTGAGGGGGGAACGATGCGATAAGCGATGTGGCATGGGTGACGAGAGAAACGGCAGTCCCAGCGAGCCTTGTGGTGATGCAACGAGGCGTGTTGGGTGGCACTGCACACAAAGAGCGGATCGCGCTAGTGCGGAGATAGGACAGTGCGAAAATAGGGCGAAGAGCGCGGAGGAAAACAGAAGCGGCGCGGGAACTGGGGCTTGGCAAGAGAGCAGAGACGGGAGAGAATCAAGGGCGGCGCGGGAACTGGGGCAAGGGCAGTATACAGGGCTGCACGTTTGGTATTTTGGTGTGGGAAAATTGGAGGCTGTTTGGTTTTAGGACTGATATTTTCTTTGAACTGTAGTCAAGACTTTAATCGAATCTGATTCATTCGAGTACGCTTTAAACATTCGAATTGTGCGCGACGCGGCCGGTGTGAACAAACCTTCCACCTCAAGCTCCTTCACTTCGACTTTCATCACAGCCTCTTCCATCCCAAGCCATTGAACAATGGCCCTGTTCGGTAGCCCCCACAGTCACACTGCGGTTGGTGCAGGTGCTCTTCCTCGGCCCAATTTCGACTCACCTTAAAGCCCACCGAACCGTTATTAGAACACCATACCTGCCCAGTGCAAATTGGCTACCGAACGCGTGAAAAACCCAGCCCGAGTGAAGTTGAGGACGCTACCACGAAAATGCTTGCTCAGGCAAGCTCGACCGCCAGTGAAAGTCAACCCCATTTCTGCTTTCCAGTTCCACTCAGGCAGGCCCGCTCTGAGGTTGTATTCCGAAGTTGGGACACCATCCGAAGTGGGGACACGCGACTCGCAATGTCGAAAATGTGCTCAAATGTTCCGCCACGCGGTTCGGAGATTGGACACCTTGAACCCGCCAGACACGAAAAATGCGACTGTCAAGTCCGTCACTCTGCGACCCCGACGATCGTGCCATGTAGGGGTGTTTTTCAGTTACGACTGTTGATAAGATGCATGTTATAGTGTATTATGTCCTCAAAAACAAAATGTAGGGGTGTTTTGAGTACACCGCACTGCGGGGCCCACGAACTAAACTCCCGCCGTCTTTCACGGAACTGCCCGATCGGTTGTTTCTCGGTCACATTGTTTTCCCTCACCCGCCAAAGTCAGAGATGGTCGTTTACATTTGTCGCGCTGTGATTGGGAGCGAAGGCAATCTGCGCTGCAACCGTCAGGCGATTCCGAAAAAAGTGGTCGCAACGCTAAAATTCGTCACATGTCCGAACTGGGGCCACACCCCACATGGACACCATCATACCCCAAAAAGTGCTTCTGGTGGGGTAACTTCGATGGTGTCCCAACTTCGGAATACAATCTGAGTGGCACGCTGTAGGGTAAACGCTGCATTAGCTTCGAATCGGGTCAAATTATGTTTTTCAGCTCGCTCGTTCAAACGATGAGAGATCGTGCCCGTTCGTGGTTTTCTTTTATCCATATCGAGGGTGTTTCATTTGGCGGGCTGTTTTTTGTTTGTGAGCTGGGCAGCCTCGTACAGAAGTAAAAGTTTCGACCAGTATTTTTTCGAGAAACACGCGGTAACTTCTTGCGTTTGTGGACGAGACTTCCTTTCAGTGTGAGTGGACGCCCGAGGCTACGAAACATGTCGTAGGCTTCCCCAGTTCGAGTGGGCCCAGTGTGACTGGAAGGCTACCGAACAGGGCCAATGCTTTCTTATTTTCTCAAAACTAGATAAACTCGAGTTCCGTGACTCTTGTCGCGAGGCGGCCTGGTTCATGGAGTAGTCCGCATAATAGGAGCCCTTTTTTTTTTCCAGTCGAGGAGGCGAACAGCACGCGCGAGGTTACGGTCCTTGAGAGGGTGTCTTGTAGGAGTTTACGAGCCGCAAAAGATGCCCGGCGCGACGCTGACGGACACGCGTCCATCGATGGACGGCTTGCTCCACGGCGTCGCCAGCGGCGGTGCTGGCGACCCTCCGGTGGCGATTGCGACCTTCGAGGTTTCGCGAAAGACTCTCGCCGGTGCAGACGACCGCCGCGATACGGCGAGTGAGATCGCCGGATCGCCGACGATCACCGGCGGCGACGGCGCTTCACCAGAGAATGAGGCGCGCTGTGAGTCGACGCCAGCAGCAGCGGGAAGTCCCGCCGATGCCGTTGCAGACGGTATGGAACCTGATAATGCTGCAGAAGCGGCAGGATCAGCGGAAGGAGCAGGAGTAGCACCAGCAGAAGCAGCACCAGTGGCAGCAGCAGAAGCACCAGCAGAAGCACCAGCAGAAGCACCAGCAGAAGAAGCACCAGCAGAAGCATCAGCGGAAGCACCAGCAGAAGCATCAGCGGAAGCATCAGAAGCAGCACCAGTGGCAGCAGCAGCAGCGACGGGCGTTGGCTTGGCGGCGGGTGAGTCGGCTGAGCGGCGCGACGGCGGTTCAGGCGAGGGGATTGGCGGCTGGTGGGGCAGGCGAGCCGCGGAGAGCGGCGAGTCGGCGGGGAAGGATTCGTGCAACGATTCCGACGATTCGGTGGCGAGCGACTGGAACGGCTGGCGAGCGGAGAAGGCGGCGACGGATGGCGAGCACGTGCCGTATGATGGTGAAAAGGTGGGGACTGGTGGTGAAAAGGCGGCGACAGATGGCGAAAAGGAAGGGAAAGGTAACGAAGAGAAGGCAGCAGATGGTGAAAAGGAAGGGAACAGTGGCGAACAGAAGGCGACAGATGGCGAAAAGGTGGGGAAAGGTGGCGAAGGGGCGGCGACGGGAGGAGGTGCGGCGAGGCGACAGAGGAAGACGGCGGAGGCTGCTGCAGCCGCCATGAAGCGGAAGGTACGGCGTCGGGGAATGGTTGAGACGGTGAGGCGAATAAAACTCTCCGGTTCGATTTAACGGCGACAACGAAGCTGTCGCGTCGCAACTGACGTCGCCCTACCGCACTCCAGTTGTCCCCGCACATGTCTCTGTCGCCTCGGCTGACCCTTTCGCGTGTCTCTGTCGCAGGAGGATCGCGAGCGTCGCAGAGAATCAGCTGACCTCCTGGCGACGTCGCAACGACTTCTTCGCGGTTAGTGCAGAGAATGCACGCCTATCAGGCCCCCTTGACGCACACACATGCACATGCACATGCACGCAGAAGCAATATCGCCTTGCCATGCCGTGCCACTCTATTCGCATCCAGCTACTGCCATGCCGTGCCATTCCAATCCCTCCTGACCACTGCCCCGCCCCGCCCCGCCCTGCTCTGCCTGCTCTGCCCCGCCCCGCCCTGCGGCCCTACCCTGCCCTGCCCTGCCCTGCCCCGCCCTCCCCTGGCCCGCCGTCCACCATGCACCAGAGAGCAGTGTGAAGTTCACGCGGCCACGCCTGGCAGCCATCTCGCTTGGCGGCTTCTTCACCTCCATGCGCGCGCGCATGGCGCTGCTGGATGCGCGCATGCCGCGGTGAGTCATGGATGGGGATAGGTGGGAGTTGGGGGTTGGGGGGATGGGGGATGGGGATAGGCGGCTTCTTCACCACCGTACGCGCGCAGGGCGCTGCTGGATGCAAGCATGCGCGGTAGGTGGGGGATGGGTGCACGCAATGTACGTGGGTGATGGGTGGTTCGGGGGATGGGTGACGGGATACGTGATGGGATGGATGATGGGGTATGGGCGGTGGGCAATTGGTGAGGGGGGATGGGCGGTGGGCAATTGGTGAGGGGGGATGGGCGGTGGGCAATTGGTGAGGGGGGATGGGCGGTGGGCAATTGGTGAGGGGGGATGGGCGGTGGGCAATTGGTGAGGGGGGATGGGCGGTGGGCAATTGGTGAGGGGGGATGGGCGGTGGGCAATTGGTGAGGGGGGATGGGCGGTGGGCAATTGGTGAGGGGGGATGGGCGGTGGGCAATTGGTGAGGGGGGATGGGCTCACATGCTGCCTTGTCTTGCCTTCTGCCGCGTCCTCTGCAACCTCCCCCATGCCCATTCCCCCCCGTTCTCCCTGCAACCTCTGACTGCTGTCTGATGCTATTGCTGGGCTTTGAGCAGCCTCGAACCTCATTCCGGGTGGGTCATGTTGTGCTACTGCATCTCACTGTGCGTTGTGTTTTCTACGTGTCCCCATTCCCTACCCTCCTCGCCCTGCATGCATCGGACAGAGAAACGGAAGAGGAGGACGAGGAAGATGAGATGGATGACGAGGATGATGACGTGGACGGTGAGGATGATGACGTGGACGGAGAGGATGATGACGTGGACGGAGAGGCGGAGGAGGAGGATGAGAAGCCCAAGGCAGGGACGAGCGGGCGAGGAGAAGGGGAGAATGCCAGGGGCGGCAGTGTCAGTGGCGATGCTGCTGCTGTGTCGAGTGGTCTGATCGCCGACATGCTGCACCGCTTCGCACAGGAGGAGGAGGAAGGCGATGAGGAGGATGATGAGCTTATCGTGCTTGAATGCTCCGCTCCTGCTGCTGCTGCCACTGCGACAGCAGGAGGGGCAGCAGGAGCGGCAGCAGGAAAAGATGCAGATGAGAAGGGAAAGGGGGAGGAGAAGGGAGAGGTGGAAGGCGAGTGTGCTGTGAAGCAAGGGGCCCAGGCAGGAAGGGAGGCGCGGATGAACCGTGGAGAATACGAGGCTAGGGACGACGAGGCTAGGGTCGACGACACAATGAGGGCCATGTGGGAACAGGGTGGGGAGGGAGGGAAGAGAGAGAAGTGGGGAACGGGGGAGAAGGGGGATAAAGGAGAGAAGGGGGAGAAGGGAGACAAAGGGGGAACGGGGGAGAACCGGGACAAGGGAGAGACGGGCAGTGCAACGAAGTGCACAGGGAAGGGATGTGGCACTGGCGAGGGCAGGGGCAGGGACGGGCCTGGGAGGAGCAGCGAGCGAGGGAAGGTGTGTGGGCGAGCGCATGTGGGGAGTGCAGGGACGGCAGTGGACTCTAGCGTTGGTGTTGCTAAGAGGGAGGCAGCTGCTGGGGTGTCCAGTGGGAGAGGGGCGGTGGAGGGAGAGAATACAGGCGTGGCAGGGCGAGGAAAGGAAGGGGAGGAAGGGGCAGGCGAGGCAGGGGCGGTGACAGCAGGGCAGAAACCAGATGGGGGCGGTGATGGGGGGAAGCAGGGAGGTGCAGAGGCGGGGAAGCAGGGGGCAGCTGATGGGGAAAATCAGGGGGACGCAGAAGGGGGGAAGCTGGGGAGCGCAGAAAGGGGGAAACAGGGGGATGCAAGGGGGCTTAAGCAGGGGGGAGGCGTGCGGTGGTGGGTGGGGGCGCGTAAGGCAGCAGGAGTGGGGCCCAAGTCGCTGAATGAGTGGGCCAAGGGGCGCGGGGGAGGGGCGGATACGCAAGGGGGGAAGGGGGCAAGTGCAGGAAGGGGCGCAGGAGGGGCTGCTGCTGCTGGTGCTGGTGTTAATGTTGCTGCTGCTGCTGGTGATGGTGGTGTTGGTGGTGCTGCTGCTGGTGATGGTGGTGTTGGTGGTGCTACTGCTGGTGCTGGTGCTGGTGCTGCAGCTGCTACAATTTCTGCTGCTGCTTCTGCTGACGACGTTACTATTGCTGCTGCTGTTGCTGGTACTGCCGGAGCTGCCGCTGGAGGTATAGGTAATCAAAGCGGGGATACAGGCAAGGGATCTTGTGGGGTGAGAGCAGCTGGGCGGAGATTTATTGATGACGCTGCTATGGAAGATGGGGGAGAAGAGGAGGAGGAGAGAGAGGGGGGGGATGATGCGGAGGAGGGGGATAGGGTTAGAGCTTTGGGGGAGAACGGGCGAGATGCGAATTGGGACCGGATGGATATAGAGGATTTAGGAGAAGATAACAGTGGGAGTGACAGTGAGGGTAACGAAGATGCTTGTAACGAGGACGAAGGAGAGGGGGAGGTTGACAAGGGGGTGGGAGATGAGGAAGAGAGGGAAGGAGAGGAAGAGGAGGAAGAGGGGGAAGAGGGGGAAGAGGGGGAGGAGGGGGAAGAAGGGGAGGAGGAGGAGGAGGAGGAGGAGGAGGAGGAGGAGGAGGAGGAGGAGGAGGAGGAGGAGGAGGAGGAGGAGGAGGAGGAGGAGGAGGAGGAGGAGGAAGGGTCAGATGGTGCGTTGGAGAGAGCAGCGCTTCACAGGCAGTGGGAGGAGGAGGAGGATGAGCGCGTGCAGGGGGCGGTGATGGGCGGGGTGCAGGGGGGCTGGGCGCATGTGCGCATGGGCAGGCGGACCCAGGGTGGGGGGGAGAGGGGGATCAGGGGGGTGGGTCCGATGGGGGATGGGGAGGAGGAAGAAGAGGGAGAGGAGGAGGTGGAGGAGGAAACGGGGGAGGATGGAGGGTTGAGGAAAGGGGGAGTGAGGAAGAGGAAGAGTGGGGAGAGTGGGAAAGGGGAGGGAGGGAAAGCGAAGGGGGCAGGTGGTGGGGAGTGGGGGTTACTGGCAAAGAAAGTGAGGATGCTCAAAGAGAAGGCGGGGGGAGGAGGGGCGAAGGGGGGTGGAGAGGGGAAGGGAATGGAGCAGGATAGCAATGCGTGTGGCTTAACCGAGAGTACTCGTGTTGATGCTGATGCCGTTGGAACGAAGAGGGGGATTAGAGGCGAGGGAGAGGAGGGGGACGATGACACTGCGAGTGACGATGCTGAGAATGGCAGCGGCAGCGACATCGATGGTAGCAATGGTGTTGGCAGTGGTGATGGTGGTGATGAGGGCGATAAGAGCGATGAGGATGATGAGGGCGATGATGGCAAGATGGCATCGCAAGACCTGGCAGAGCAGATGCGAGCCAAGAGACGCGTAGAGATGGTGAGTGGGGAGATGGTGAGTGTGTCGGTGATGAGTGGGAAAGATGGTGAGTGGGTGAAAGGTGGTGAGTGGGGCGGTGGTGAGTTGGGGGGAGGTTGGGTGAGGAGCGACAGTGATAGAAGAGCAACGGAGAGGAGGTGATCGTTTGACAGCAGCACTCCCAGTCTTCTCACACCCATCCTCTCCCTTGCTCACGTGTAATAAGTTTTTTTTCGAGATGTCTCACCATCTCCCCACTCTCACACCCATCCTCTTCCTTTCTCTCCTCTCTTCCCCCACCTTCCCCCCACCCTGGCAGCACCACAAGGAGGTGCGGGACACGGCCCTTGGCTCCCTCTCAATTCTGTGCTCTCCAAACCTTTCTCTCCGCCCCCCCTTCCATCAGCATCACCGGGAGGTGCGGGACACAGTGCTGGGGCAGTGGAAGCAGCAGCAAAAAGAATAAATGATTGATTTCCCCTCCCTCCCCTCGCTTCTCTCCCCGCTCCTTCCCCCTCCAAGCAGCATCACAGGGAGGTGCGGGACACAGTGCTGGGGCAGTGGAAGCAGCACTCCCACCGCAACATCACAGTCGTCAGAGGGGCCGCACCACCTGCCTTGCACTCACCTTTCACTTCATTACAGTCACGCGGCCCTCCCTTACAGTCACACGGTTCTCCTTTACAGACACATGCCCCCCGCTTGCAAGCACACCGACCGTCAGTTAACACCTCATACAACCATTTCAACCGCACTGCACCTGCACCAGCTCCAGCCTCCCCTTGGAGCGGAGCCGGCCATTCCATTCCTGTGAGTCCTCCCCTCTCTGCCTGTTACTTCAATGTCTCTTCCATTCCACCCCTCCTTATCAATTCGTTGCTCCACTTCTTTTTCTTCTCTCATCCTGCTACCTTCCATGCTTCCTTCCTTCCATTCCTCTCTTTCTTCCACTAGTCCCTCAGCAACGCACTTCAACATTCACCTTGCTCCGTGCTCAAACTCTCTTCTGCAGGCACCTTCCTTAGGCCTGCGAGCCTCCTCCCTTCTCGGGCAGCTTTCAAAGCTGCCCAAGGACTTCAATTTCACCACGGGCAGCTCTGGAAGGACTGGGCAGGCTGGCCCTTCTCGAGCATACATATTCAAGACCAAGGAAGCACCAGACGAGGAAGAGTTTTGAGGCATTTCAAATATATTTTCGGGTATGCTGTTCCTTCTTCAAGTCCATAGATGCACCCGAAGATATAATCCTGTAGCTTGTTAAAAGTGGGTCGCCTTGCACGTGCATTTGTTCTGTACATCCTGTTTTGTGAAGTAGAATCTTTCGGCGATCAGCAGGGCAGAATCCCATGTGCTAGAACAAACACCATTGGTGAAAGAGCAATATTCATACCAATCGTACTGTAGGAACTGTAGGAATGCAAAGAGTATATACTTTGAACACGCGTCAAGTCAAGGCTGCATGTGTCTAACTAACCAGCCTTGCTAGCAGATGGTGATGGAAGGTCACTACCAGGTGTTACGAGTGCAATTGAGTGAGCGAGCGAGAATTGCACTATCGAAGCAAGAGTTCAATGAGCGAAGGCACGAGCGAAGAATATATAGCGAAACTACAGTGGTAATGGTAATGCGTGAAAATGGGGTGCACGACGGGCCTGGCGCCGAGGTTGGGAATTGTCGAGGCGAAGGTCCGGAGCGCGGGTTACCGACCGAACCGTCAGGTTTGGTCGCGGCGTGAACAGTGGCGGGAACAGTAGTCGAGGCGAGTGGTAATGGTTTACTGTTGGGTGCTGTTGGCGGGAACAGTGGTGTACGCGCAGAGCAGGGACGCGAAGTAAGGAAAAGGAATTTCCCTTCCACCACCCCCCACCCCCCTAAGGAGGCCCTCTTTACGAAAGTGCGTGTACATCTCGGAAATTTCGGCTGCGTAGATACTCGGTGAGGACGGGGTGGTTTTCAATTCTGTTCAGGGGAACCCAGTTGTCTTCAGTGGGCGTGCGGTCTTTCCAGCGGATCAGAAATTCGATCCTATGAGCTCCCCGTGGGTCACGAACTCGGTGGCTCAAAATATTTTCGGGCGTGATGATTGGCTCCGTTGGCGGTCGTGTCATGCTGGCGGGGCGGTTGCGAGGCAGTTGGCTGGTGGATGGTATGTATGGGCGGAGCAGGCTGACGTGGAAGGACGGGCTGACGTACCAGTCAGCAGGGAGGAGGAGGTGGGCAGTGACGGGTGTGATCATGTGGCTGATGCGAAATGGCCCGCAATATCGGGGGCGGAGTTTCGGGGTGATGGGTAGGCGGAGGTTTTGGGTGTCGAGTAAAACTAGGTCGTCGGGCTGGTAAGTGACAGGCCTGCGGTGGCGGTCGGCATTGCGTTTAGCGATGACGTTGGCCTTTTTAATTGTGTCGGCTGCCCTGGTCTGTGCTGCCTGAAGGATTTCTGGGAACTGTTGCGCGCGTGGTACTGGGTTGTCGGGATTCGGGGTCATGGGTACTGTAGGGTCTTGTCCGTAGTTCAGGTAAAACGGTGACTGTTGGGTCGTGGCGGATGGTGAGTTGTTGTACGCGAGCTCGATGAGTGGTAGTTGTCAGAATGTTATAATTGTCTAGCCTGCAGTGGGGTACTCCATAGTGAGTACAGCCCAATTAGGGTTTGCTATATGTATCCAACTGCTTGCTAGTGAACCTCCTCCTTTCTTCATTCTTACTTTCTACTGCTAGTTCTGACAGTAGTTGGTGTTCCCAGGTGGTCGGGCGTGGCTCGGATAAGTTGCTCCATGGTCTGGTTTGTCCTTTCTGTCTGTCCGTCGGTCTCGGGGTGGTACGAAGAACTAAAATGTAGTCGTGTGCCGAAATGCTGCCACAGGTTCCGCCAGAAGTTGCTGGTGAATTTCGTGTCGCGGTCGCTGATGATTGCTGCTGGTATCCCGTGTAATCGAACGACGGTGGAGATGAAGAGGCGGGCTGTTTCTTCGGCTGTGATTGATTTCTTGCAGGCTGCGAAGTGTGCCATCTTTGTCAGACGATCGACGACGACCAGGATCGCGCCGTTCCCACTTGCTCCAGCCGGTAACCCCGTGACGAAGTCCATCGTCACCTGCTGCCAAGCACGCTCTGGGGGTGGTATCGGCCGCAATTGTCCTGCCGGCCGCTTCCGTGATGATTTCATGAGTTGGCAGGTGGGACACGATGCCACGTGTCGTTGCACTTCGGTCAGCATCTTGGGCCAGTAGTAATACCGCTGCAGCTGCTGCCGTGTTTTTTCTACTCCGAAATGTCCTGAGGTAAACCCGTCATGCGCTTCCTATTGTAACAGCTCCCTTAGTAAACTAAAGTGTAGTAATGCGGTCAGTGCCGGCTATTACGTAATAAACCCCCTTTGCTGCTGCGAACTGCTGCGAATTTCCACCTGTGAAGAATGTGTCTGCCTGATATCTGTTAGTAGCGGGCTGGTCTGGGCAAGTAGTATGGCATGGATTTGGGCAGTGGGGTGGGTCAGTGCGTCGGCGATGTTTGATGCCCCCTTTTTGTAGGTGACCGTGTAGTGAAAACTTGACTCGAGGAAATCGAGCCAACGAATCTGTCGTGGATTGAGGTGAGGCTGTGCGCGGAGGTACTGTAGTGATTTATGATCTGTCCATACCGTCACGTCTGCGCCGGTCAAGTAACAGCTCCACACTTTGAATACGTGCACGATCGCGAGCATTTCGCGGTCGTGTATCGGGTAATTTTTCTCGGGCGGATGCAGTTTTCGTGACTCGTATGCGATGGGCTGTAGGCCGTTGCCGAAATCCTGTAGCAGTACGGCTCCGATGGTGATGTCGCTTGCACATGTAACCACTTCGAATGGGCGGTGTGGGTCGTCGATGCAGAGTACGGGCGGTGAACAGAGAACATTTTTCAGGGCAGAGAAGGCAACATGCTCTTTCTCCCCCCACATAAAAGCGACCCCCTTCCGTAGCAGATCCGTCAGTGGGACTGTTAACCTCGCCATGTCGGGGACGAACCAACGCACGTAATTAACGAACCCTAAAAATCTCTACAGCTCCGTGATATTTGTTGGGGGGTGCCACGCTTTTACCGTGTCCAGCTTCTTTGGGTCGATCTCAACCCCAACCTCCGAAATAACGTGCCCCAGAAACTCTAGCCGGTCTTGAAAAAACTCGCACTTGGAACCCTTGGTCAGTAGCCTGTGCCCATCTAAAAATTTAAAAACTGCTTCCAAGTCTGCTAAGTGCTGCTGCTTGTCGCGACTGTAGGCGAGGATGTCGTCGAGGTAAACGATCACACATTTATCTAAGAGTGGCCTAAACGCCTCGTTTATGGTCATCTGAAACGTCGCCGGTGCGTTGGTCAGCCCGAAAGGCATCACAGTGTACTCGAAGGACCCGTACCTAGTTGTAAACGCTATTTTGGCGCAGTCCGATGGTTCGACCCTAATTTGGTGGTAACCTCCCCCCGTAAGTCGATTTTCGAAAGACTCGTGCTGTTCGCAGTTGGTCTATCAGTTCATCGGCGCAGGGAATGGGATATCGCGACTTGACAGTAACCCTGTTCAGTGCCCTGTAATCGATGCACATGCGAGACCCTCCATCCTTTTTCGGTGTGAACAGTATCGGTGCGGCGAACGGTGACGAGCTCAGTCGGATGAATTTCTTCTCTAACAAATAATCTAGCTACTTCCTTAGTTCGTCGAGCTCGGGCTGTGTTAGTCTGAACTGTCGCTGTACGGTTGGCTGTGCCTTGGGTTCTAACTCTATTCGGTGATCGTGTGCCTGCTGTGTCAGAATAACGAACAGGGATGAATCAACTAACAGCAGGATGGGTACAAGTAGCAAACCCTAATTTGGGTTGTACCCCATATGGGCTACCCCACTACAGCCTACACAACAAGCAACACATAGTTTGACACGCTGAGGTGACAGTCCCTCTGGTAAGTCATCGGGGAAAATCCCCGGGTACCGTTTCAACAGTTCCTGTAGTTCGGGCAGTACCGCTGCCAGCAGTTTCTGAAAATTGCTCGGCTGCTCTGCTTCTCCTTCCACTGCGATATCCACCGCGTACACGTCAGCTCCAGCGGCGACAGCCCGTTTCATCGTGATGGCGTTGACGTGGACCGTTGAAGACTCGGGCGACTGCCAGCGAGGTAGTTCAACCCAGTTACTGCTACTTCGCACAGTGCAGCTACCTGTCGTCCAGTCGATTCGCGGGTTATACCGTCGCAGCCAATCACGTCCCAGTAAAATGTCGTGCCCATCCAATGTGCCAGTTGCAGCTTCCGTGTGGTCGTGGTATTAACTAAGTTGTGACTTGCCCCTCCGTCTATAAAAATCTTCAATGCTGCTCCCTGTACTTTCCCGTGGATCAGTACTAGGCAATCCGTCGCTGTACCCTCATTCATCCGAGCCCGATCGATGGTGTGAATCGGTACTGTGACTCGGTGAGGGTCGGTGAGGTTGGGCGAGCAGG